AACTGGAAAGGCCTTGAAAACTTGGAAAAATCAAAATTTTTTTTGAGAGCGCAAGATTTGTATGAAATGAAAAAACTGGCTTGTTCGATAAAAAAATCCGGTTTATTTGATATTCAAAAAGTCAAGATATCCGAAAAACCGGTTGAAACCGGTTTGGATGAACCGAGTCAATCACGCAAATACAGATAGGGATGCAAATTTTGGGGAATAACATCGATACATCGATATTATCGATGAACATCGATGATAAAATACATCGCCAAAAAAAACATCGATCATCGATATGGTTTCCGATGTTTCGAAATTTGTTTGGAAAATTTAATACTTTTCAATTCCAACTCTCTGTAATTCAATTATTGCCTTTATTTATTTACCATTCCTTCCCAATAAATAGAATAGAAATGCATGCCGTCGTAAGTTCGCTGAGCCTAAAGTTCCAAGGCCCAATTTCGTTGAAATTTCAACGGGATTCCGGTCCGTTTTAAATGACTAAGTATGCATTTTTAATATCGAAAGATAAGAGTAAACTCAGAATTTCTGAATGTTCCTTTTGAAAGAATAAATATTAAAATTCATGGTCAGTCAAAAAATTTTAGGAGCATAATTCGATGTTAAAACAGGCTTGGCTGACATCAAATCGAATTTGTCACTTTTGAGTTGATCTGTTGTTCTCGAATCCGTACATGTGTTCCTACAAACATAAATACATACATATGTACACGTATAAGCAAATTCCCAGTACGGCATAGCTCTACCAATTACCTCAAAAAAATTTATTTATTTCTACTTACATATGTATGTAGCAACTAACTTCAAATTGATGTATAAGTAGCCTCGTTGAGATAAACCAAATAATTCAAAATTAGTTGAAAAATCATCTAACTTTGGACAATTAACTATTTCAGTATTTAATACTAAGTAATTTTAATTGGTTGAAAAGACATCTGCAAAAGAAACAAACTGACTTTGAAACGCTCTAAGTCAAATGCATTTTAAAGTAGTTGAAATCAAATGCAGAGTCGGATAATTGACAGATGCCTAGCTCACTGCCATGTTAAAGTCAACAGTTCGTTCCAAGGAAGAAAGTGAGCTCTTCAACTAGTTGTGGAGGGTTGAACATCGACATTTAAACTAGTTTCTCTCCGTACTGCGTTTGTACTTCAGAACTTATATATGCACATGTATATACATACATATGAACATATATATATGTATATATACTTATGAGCACATGTGTGTACATATGGAGGGGGCTTTTCATATTTAGTAAGTATTTATGTACATAGTTCTAATTTTTATAACATTTTATTTACCGCGAAATGAACTTTTTTGATTAATGAAATTTTTGTACCAGAGAATTACGGTATTTCGCCATAGCTAATGTGCCACATAATGAGAGCATTTTTGAAAAGTACACTTAATATTTTTGTTATGAAAATATGCGTATGTACAAATGTATGTACATTAGGGTGGTCCTTAAAAAAATCAAAAGAACTTTTTTTCAGTCTCACTCCCTCAGTCGGTAATACCACGGTCACAGATATCACATATAAATTTTGGTCCCGATTAGAGAAGGTTAAGGCGTGTCGCATAGGGGGGGGGGGGGAAAGTACAGATTCCTCTATAGAGACTCAAAAAATTAAAATTATTATTTTTTTTTTAATCTAATACTCAAAATCGATACTACCGTAGTCAAAGATATCATATATAACTTTTGGACCCGATCGGAGTCGGTTAAGGCCTGTCGCAAAGGGGTCAAAGGCCGGACTCAAAAAATTAAAAATATATTTTTTTCATTTAATACCTTAAATCGATACTACAAAAGTCGAGGATATCACTTTTAATTTTGGTCCCAATTTGAGTCGGTTAAGACGTCTTCATAGGGGAGTCTGAACTTTGACCCCTGTGCGACACGCCTTAACCGACTTCAATCGGGACCAAAATTTATGTGTGATATATTCGACTATAGTAGCATTGACGTAGGGGTTGAGGCTTAGGAAATCTGATGCAAAAATTTGCTTTCTACATATGACCACCCTAATGTGCATATGTGACAAATATCGATAAAGAAAATAAAAGAAATGTTTTAAATGCCGAAATCCACTAGAGGGACGTCCTTGCCAAACGCGCGACATCCGTGGGTTTAACCTCTTCAACGTCTTACCATATATATAAGATCTTATTGAGCGGATTATGTGAAAGGTCAACTATCAACTGATAAATAAGTACTTTAATATATGTACTTTAATGAAAAAATTAACTATCTATCTTGCATCATAGTAGTATAATCTGCCTTTGGAGAGTACGTCAGTATAAATGACAAAGCAACTCCTATAAGAGTAAGAGTTTGTAGGTCCCCTCTTACTAAATTAATGAATTTTTTGAAGCCTCTTTAGATGGACAGATAAACTGATTAGCTTGCCTCTACTCTAGGCATTCAAACCCGTGTTTACTAAAGTTTTTGGCTAAAATTTTGTCAGAGACTTAGGCGACTTACCGAAGGTTTCAAGACCTGGGGTCGAATCGTAACAGTCGTGAACGAGCATCTCGTCACGTTTCGGATTATAACAGTCGTGAACGTACTACTCGTCTCTTATAACGAATAACGAGATGAGCAGTACGTTCACGACTGTTACGATTCGAGCCCAGGTCAAAAATTCTGTAGGAACAACCATGGCGACCTAGTGACGGGTGTCCAGATCGTACTTAAATTATATAGGGATCACTTTTCCACCACATTGAATGGTAGCAGCACTGAAAGCTGTAAGGAATACGGACCCGAGCCCCTACTAGATGAGATTGGAGTCGATGTCCCACCGCCTGACTATGACGAGTTACGAATAGCGATTTTACGGCTGAAAAAGAACAAAGCTATTCAAGTACGGCGGCGAGGAGTTGATAAGGTGCATGCATCAACTCCTATGCAGAATATGGTCAGATGAACGCATGCCAGACGATTGCAATTTAAGTGTGCTCTGTCTAACCCACACGAAAGGCAACGCCGTCATACGCGCCAACCACCGCGGGATCAGCCTTCTAAGTATAGGTACAAGGTCTTATCGAGTGAACTGATTGGGCCTTAAAAGTGTGACTTTAGAGCTGGAAAATCCACCATAGACCAGGTATTCACAATACGCCAAATCTTGGAAAAGACCCGTGAGAAAAGTATTGACACTCACCACCTATTTGTCGACTTTAAAGCCGCTTTCGTTAGCACGAAAAGGTGTTGCCTATACGCCGCTATGTCTGAATTTGGCATCACCGCGAAACTGATACGGCTGTGTAAAATGACGTTGAGCAATACCACCAGCTCTCCCAGAGTCGGGAAAGATCTCTTCCAGCCGTTTGATACCAAACGGGGTTTTAGACAAGGTTACTCCCTTTCTTGCGATTTCTTTAATCTGATGTTTGAGAAGATAATAAGGGCCGCAAAACTGAACCGCTCAGGCACAATACTTTACAAGAGCGTACAATTGCTGGCGTATGCCGAGGACATCGATATTGTCGGTAAAAACAAGGAATGATGAAGCGGTCACTTTTGGGTTAGAATATCTCAAAAACCTGATGCGCTAGAGAAATTCTTTGCCCGGATTCGGATTCAGCGTTGAAAATTCTACATAAAATCATATATCATAAACTCATAATAAAATAGTGTATACATATACACTTTTCAGAGAAAATATTCAAATGTTTCAGTGATCTTGAACTTTGAAGATGATGATCTAACATGCCAACCAATAGCTACATATGTATACAATCAATTCTTATTGGGACACATTGTCAACTCATCCAAGGCATAACTGAAATATTTGTCTCTTGTTCTTTGCGAAATTCTTGATCGACCAATCACTTCCGCACGCGTACAGCCGCCCTCGCAAATTGCGCCACTGAATTATTACATTATCCAAAGATCAGTTCTACGTGTATACGTCTACATAGTATAAAAATACTGTGTGCGAATAAAAATATGTGTATGTACATATGTATGTATGTACGAAAAAGTATGCGAAAACTCGAGGATAGCCAAAAAATATTTTCCGATCTCCAAAAAGATTTGTGGCACTTGTACGTACAAAACCGCCGCAACCACTGTTGAGGAACAGACGACAATCATCATTATTAACAACACCAACAACAACATAATTACGAAAGCTAAACGTGCACGAAATAAACAAAAATAAAAATAAAATCAAATTTGATGATGAACAGTAGCCACAAAAATTCCAATACAAAAACGCCTTAGAAACAAAAATGAAAAAAAAAATATGTATAAAAGTAAAGGAAAAGCCAAAAAAAAAACAACTACATATAACAGAAAGGAGCCAAATACACATAAACGCATAGATACTACACATTTTTAGGCAACCAAATATTCGCACTCAAATATGAATGATCCACTGTTAGCCATATATATATATATAAACCGCTCTTTTCTATTAATTAACTGAACCATTAACCGAACCGAAATTTCCCACAAATGTTTGATCCGAACCGAAAACCGAACCACCTCCTATAAAGATTGAAAGATTCGTTTCAACCAATTTGCAATAGATAAATGTGACAAATGGGACAAAAAAATCTTAAAAATCTAGAATTCAATGGGCTACAAATCTGCATACTCAGAATCATTCTAGGAAATCGAATAAAAAAATTTTGAAATTTTTACGAAAGTTTGTTGATTTTTTTTAATATTGCACAAAGTTGTTTGGGTATTATTAAAGAATAAACTATATTTTTATAAAAAAAATAACCAAAATTAAATACCAACAAAAGCAATATGTTAAAACTTGTCAAAATGTAGTGCGGCTATAATTATTTCGACCAATGTATATGTACAGTGCAGTGCCTCTGAATATGGATGGGGAGATTGGTAGCGATCGGTGACTAAGTGGATAGGTAGATAGCTATCTAGCTACATAGTAGGTGACTAGGTAAATTGTACAAATTGGATAGCGAGTGCGAGTGCGAGGGTGGTGGTCGGGATGCGTGGCGCTGGCTTTTAGCTGCTGCTGGCAAATGAGACACTCATCTTTGTTGTTGTTCAGTGGAGTGCGTGTGTGTGTGTGTAGATTTAGCGAAACTGAATTGTGGCAGCGGGTGTTTGGTATTGGCTAGAAGGATGAATGGATGGATGGACAGATTTGTTAGCTGCTTGGCTGCTGTTTGCTTGGTGTGGTTGTTGGTATGGTTTTTGGTTGGCTTGCTATTTAGTTGACTAAATTTACTGTGTGAGTACATATGTATATGAATTTTCCGCATTATACACTGGTCCATGTGGGCTATAAGTACGTGCAAAAGTACACACTCATACATGTTCAAATGGACACATACAAATCTAGATAAATCTGCATTATGTTATAAATATTGATTTTGCAAGTTTAATGTTTTAGTTTATCAACGAATCTCATCCACCGTGGAAGTGCGAAAGTGGTGATCGCCGACGCGTTAAATCGAGTATTAACGGACGACGAGTGTGTGTGGGTGCGCGCGTGTGTTACGGTTAACTAGCCCACTGGCCAACATTATCCCTCTAGGGTGTTGCAGTGTATAATATCTAGTTCGTTTGGCGGTCAAACCGTTGTTAATCTATTAAAATGGTAATGAAAGTGTGTAATTGTGCTTTGAATTGAAAAAAAGCACCCATATATAAGTGATACAAAATATGTTATAAAATATTTAGAATTGAAATTCCTAAATCTTTCCCCTTATACATATACATATTGGTGTTTCTAAGAGCGCCTTAAAGCGGCTTATTCTGAAATAACTTCTTTAAACGATTACAAAATTCCAACAACGTTACCCCATAATACATATAAATGAGGCGGAAGTATACGATCGTTTTCCTCCCAGACCGAGCTTCTATTTAGTTCAATGGCTTCTCTTGTATCAATACAGACAAGGGGAGTTACCTTCGCGGTAGTGTAACCATCCAGTAAAAATTATTGTTCGGGAAGATTTTTGTTTAAGGCAACAAACTCGTAGAAATTGGCGTCTTGATTTTAAGACTAATAGAATAAACAGAATATCCCTTCTTTAGCAACATTCGTTCCGCAATTTTTTTTGTTTAACGAAAAACTATCTAGAAATGGGCATGGCAATTTTAGGACCAAAGTTAAAAAATTTAGGTTTTATTATGAATTTCAGCAGATTACACCGTTCGACAAAAACAAAAAAAATGCAAAACACACGAAAGAATCGATATACTTAAGAAACTATGGACCAAATATAGTAAAACTGCGTTTTTAGTTTTTCACTCTGACGTCAGGACTTTGACATTTTAAGGAAAGGATTAATTAAAAAAAATAAAAAATTTTTAAAATCAGTGCAATGTAGAATAATAATGTGGGTACCAAATGAGAGAGAAAATTCTGTATAATTTAAAAACAATAAAGTTTTTTGGTTTACAAGGACGAATACATAGGAATTGAACGCGTGTGATCGTGAATTGATAGGAAAGGATCGCGTTAAAGCGAATAACTATTTTCGAAAATGGACTATATACATTTTTTAGCAGCGCCGGAAATTCTTCTTCGTAAGTTTTCAGGACCATGCGGATGCGGGCTTTTAAAGTTCATTTCGCGACAAATTTGATACACAAAATATTATTTCCGAAATACGCGTTCCGAAGTGCCCAAGAACGAAAATCTTTTGGTATGGAGATTTTTTATTTTGCTCCATATTAAATACCGTAAAAATTTAAAAACCGCAATTGCCGACCTCTGAATCGCAGAAAATAATAAATAGTAATCTTTCGTGTAAAAATTATTGACCACATTGTAGTATGTACCCCAAAATGGATTTTTTCTAAAAAAATAATATCTCCCAAAAAAACATTTTAGCTACTACGAATTCAGCTCGATTGTAGTTCAAAGTGCCTATTTTTCTTGTGAAAAAGTATGAAAGAAAAATATATAGTGGTTTTTAACACTTGTCTGGCTATCAGGTTATCTGGTTATGTGGTCATATTTTTAACCGACTTCCAAAAAACGAGAAGGTTATCAATTCGTCGGAATATTTTTTTTTTTATGTATGTTACCGCATAACTTTGGACCACGTCAACCGATTTCGATAATTCTTTTTTGCATCGGAAAGGTAGTGTCCCAGAGGTGGTCCCATACTAATCTGGTTTAGATCAGATCATTGGATCATGAAAAAATTAACGGTACTCCTAATTTTTTTAGATGAGAATTGAAGTCGGTTTTGTTTTTTGCTTAAAAAGTACTAGTTTATTCAGTTTACAACAATAAGATACACTAAATAATAATAATTTTTAACCAGATAACCTGATAACCAGGCAAGTGTGAACAACCACATAGTTTATGTAAAATTTAATTTCGAAAAATTTTCATCAAAAAATAAATCCAAAAATTATAAAAATTAATATCGACAATTGTACCATTCTATCATTACTAACATTTGAGTGAAGAAATCGATTAGTTTTTAAAAAAGTTATGGACATTGGAAAAAAATATCCAATATATCGATTTTTATCTGAAAAACAAAATGGCTTATAAGTCGGCAAAAAATTTTCTCGAGCCAAAAAAAAAGCGGTTCTCATTATTTGGACCAACAAACAGCATATTTCAGTTTCATCTAAATTAAAAATCATGCCCTTACCAGACCGGCTGTCAGGTTGAAATGGAAACCATCAGTAGCTATTAAAAGTCTCGCGGATTAAAATGTACTTCAATTAGGTTGACAAATGATAACACAAGGCCGCTCTGATTTTGGTGCGCCAAATGTTAAAGCTGTTTTTGGTAGACTTTTATATGCTGATTACGAATCCGTGCGCTTCAAGTTTCCATAAGCTCCAGATTTTGAGAAAAACGAGGTCAAAGTGTCAATAGCAAAGAATCAATAGATGAGAGAGCCTTCCATTAAGGTTTAAATTTAAGCTAGAACTCTTGATAACCCTGAAAATACCATCCCTGCACCCTGACCTGATGGCCACTTAGGGCCGTTTGCACCATACCTGCTTAATTTCAACTCCCAGTTAAACATCGTTATCGACGTTATCGACACCCGGCATATAACATGTGATCGATAAAACAGTCGCTGTGCTAAAGTGAAGGATGTTAGCGGTAACTAGAGATGGTGCAAACGGCCCTTATAGTCATTCAACGAACATTAAAAAATATTGGAAAATTCTGCTATTGAAAAAAAAAAATTGTGCCAAAATCCGTTTTTGCTGTTCAATAAATGATTATAAGTGACCTTGGAATCAAGGTGCAGGGATGGTAGTCGGGAGTTCTAGCTTTAATTAGTTAAAGCCTAAGTGGACGGTTCTATCACCTTTGGTTTTTTGGCTAGAGCTCCTCAATTATTGCAAAAACCTCGTTTTTCTTAAAATTTTGAGCTGATGGTAACTTAATACTTAATACTTACGGATTCGTAATCAGCACATAAACGTCTATTTAAAACAGCTTTAACATTTTGCCGCACCAATTTTTTTTCCATTTTTGTTGGCCTGCCTAATTTATAGTAAATTAAAGGTTTTTTTTAATTGAAAAATTCCCATCTCAAAAGATTTCCCCATACACTTAACACTTTCTATGAAAATTAAAAAATCTTTCCTGCTAAATATTACTTGCTGTTCGTAGGAAGATGATGAGAAAATGGACATTATGCGCAAGGCATTCCAAATGTTCGACACTCAAAAGAGCGGCTTCATCGAAACACTGCGTCTGAAGACGATTCTCAATAGTATGGGTCAAATGTTCGAAGAGAGCGAATTACAAGAACTGATCGATGAAAATGATCCTGAGGATACCGGCAAAGTGAATTTCGATGGCTTTTGTAATATTGCAGCACATTTTCTCGAAGAGGAAGACACCGAAGCCATACAAAAGGAACTGAAAGAAGCTTTCCGATTGTACGATCGTGAGGGCAACGGTTACATCACCACATCGACTTTAAAGGAAATTCTAGCGGCATTGGATGATAAACTCTCTTCAAGTGATTTGGATGGCATTATAGCGGAAATCGACACAGATGGTTCGGGCACGGTAGATTTTGATGGTGAGTCGTTGAATGCAAAAAAAACAAAAAACTAACAAAAAAAACACAAACAAACACTAAGGTGATCGACATAAGGAAATTTTCGAAAGATAATTAAATATTTATTGGCTAGTCAGTCAGTCAAGTGCTGAAAGTGCAATCTGCTTGCTATCCACTTTTGATGGCTTTATGTTTCTCGATGTGTTTATTTGCTTTTTTTCGCTGATTAATCAAATATTTGTTTTCTTAATGCTAATTTCCTTTACAGAATTCATGGAGATGATGACTGGAGATTAAGTTTTTTTTGATACACCTACAAGTACCTACATACACATACATGCATACATCCATAGAAATATGCATACTATTACACGCGTATCTGGCTTCTAGCATCTAAAATTAATTGAAAATAGTCTACGCATATGTTGGGCAATTTAAAAAAAAAATAAAAATAAATCTGGAAAAATAAAAATTATTGTTTATTCGTGTAGGGTCTGTATTTGTGTTATTACCTTTTATTGTACTGTGTTCAT